ACTACTGTTGCAATTTGTCCGGCTTCCGTTTTGTTAGCTTTATTGCAGAGAGATAATATTTATCATGAAGCATTTGAAGAAAAAAAATGTTTGTTTTGCTTCAATAATTTTTTTTTTCTTGGTTTTTATTGTCTTGCATTAAAATTTTCGGATTTAAAATTTAAATTTTCAAACAAAAAAATTAAATTTTTACTGAAAAATTAAAATTGAGTTTTAAAAAAAAATTAGTTGAGATATCACTTTAATAATATCAATCAAATTTTTGCGAACTAATGAGAACAATCATATCATATTAAAGGCATCCTGTTCAATTCTTCAGAAGCTCGATATTTTTTCTTATCGGACGTTTCCTTGCAGATAATTCTTCCTTTAATTATTATCTCACTTCAACGGACTTATTATTATATCATTGAATTATTTTTGAGTTGTTATAAAGTAGTAATTGGCTGAATATCTACCTACTTTTATTCCAAAGTATTCTTTCTCTCGACTTTTTAAAAAGTTTCTCTTTATCAAAGGTATATCTCGTCTCCGTTAAACAAATTGAGTAAATAAGAGTATTAAAGATCTGGAGGAAGAAAAATAACTGAAAATGATGAATTCTTTTAACGATATTTGAGTTTGTCAAAGTGAGTAGCAGATGTTATTGACAGACGATTGCGAGGCACAATATATCTATATCTATATAATATACCTTCAGAAAGATTTTACTCTCTACTAGTCACTTATTCTGCCCGTAAAACTCTAAGTTAACTTGATATAAAGTAACTTCGTATTTTTATTAAAAACACCTGAGATATTTTTTAACTTGAATTATCTATTACTTGACTGTTATTATTTTTTTCAAAATAAATAATAATAATAATATTAACCACCATTGATGTTTTTAAAGATATAAGCTCATCCCGATGTTACACTCATCAAGAGCTTTCATTTGAGTACCCACATGCATTTTTAACATATTTTTCATATATACATATATATAAATATATAAAATATATGAAAAATTGATGTGGGTGCTCAAATGAAAGGTCTCGATGAGTGTAATGTCGGGCCGAGCTTATATCTTGAAAAATGTCAATAGTTCATGAGATACAAAGTCATTTCTTAATTACTGACATTTTTAAAGATATAAGCTCATCCCGATGTTCCACAAATCGAGACCTTTCATTTGAGTACCCACATGGCATTTTTTATATATTTTATATATATATGGTATTTGTGAAATATATAAATATATGAAATATATGAAAAATTGATGTGGGTACTCAAATGAAAGGTCTCGATGAGTATAACATCGGGGTGACCTTATATCTTTAAAAATGTCAATAATTCACAAGATACAAGTTCATTTCTTAATTATGTATCTAGAGATAGAGCATTTTTGAAACCATCCTAAATACTTGTCATAATAAATTGACTATCAGTGAGAATAATATGAAACCTTTAAAAGGCACAAATTCAAGTCAAGACCTTTGCAATGACACTAAATTCTACTAAAAAAACCGATTTTATCATATGACTGTTCTGGAGACAAAATTTTTCTTATTCTCTTAATAATATAGATAATAATGGACTTTTTTTAATCTTTATCTCTTGTAACAATATAGTGAAATTTAATTAAATTTAATTTCAATCTATGGTATAATATAAATATAAATCATCTATATATACGTAATTTAAAATCCTCGAGTTTGGAAATTAAATTCCTGAATTACCGAATCACGACCTCAATCTCACCTATTTTATTCTCACGATCCTCGTTTCTTATTTATATCACTTATCGATCTACGTATACTCCTAAAATTACCGAATACTCAGTGAAGGTAGTTTATAATTTCATTCACTTTATTATTATCACTTGACTGCTTTAATTCAATACATCCGTTATAGAGTAAAATAAAAATAGTTTTTTTTTTTAAACATAAAAAGCTTTATTTCACGGAAACTTGACCTCAATGCAACAACAATTTATCAAATAAATTATTCACAATAATAATTATTGTCAGATCCATTCAATCGAATAAATTTAATTGCAATTTCTCTTCCACTCGTATTAACTTTCATCTCGAGAGAAGAAATATCTTTTAAAAATTTTTATTTTTCCACTTCTATAATAATTAGCTCTTATCCTTTGGATAAAAAATCGGGATAAAAATCCTCAGTTATTCTTGTTGCTTTTAATAATTAAATTATTCTGTCAATTAATCACTAGTGAAGTGTAATAATTTTTAAATTATTAATTTTTTTATTTAAATTTAAATGAAAAATATTTTTATACTTAAAAAAAATTTTATTTTATTTAAAAAAATAAAATTCTTAATCAATTTTTAAAAAATAATTTTTTTAGTCAACAATTTTTTCTCTTGAATTAACTTTATTTTTTTATCATTAAAAAAAATTTTTATCCTTTAATTTCGACAAGAAAAAAAAAATTTATTTTTTTAAAAAATGTTCCAACTCTAATTTTTTATTAATTTTATTTTTCAATCCCGAAAAAAATTTTTTCTGAAAAATTATCCAAATTAATGAGAAAAAAAAAGCAATTTAATCTTAAGCTTGAGCAAAATTAATTTTAAATTATAATAATAATTAAAAAAAAAAAAAAATAAAAAGGATCTAGAAACTTTTCCAGAGGATTAACTAGAATTTTTTCAATTAATTTTAAGTGGACTGTAATGAAAATAGATATCGGTACGGTGAATTTACGAGTGTAAGAATAAAATAAATGTTTTTTACACAATAAACCGCAAAATTAAGCCGGTAATTGAACGCGTGCCAGCGTGAGTAGAAAACTCGTTACTCTTCAGCTCGAGAAGCGATAACACGTAGTGGTCGTTTTCGTTTGAATAGCTTCAGGCCAGCCCGAGTGAGTCAGTTTTTCTGTAACTACTTGGAAAACTCACGGAAAAATTTAAAACTCCCGTTGATATGACGGATAATAATAACAATAATTTAGAACAAAGACCAGATGTTCATTAGCAGATAATTATATTGCTAAATTTATTTTAATTTATTTTCCTTTGTCCCACTTTTTATTTATTTCTCTAGAATCCTCTTACTTTTAGTTGAGAGCAACAACAGTCCGTCCTTACAGCATAGCGCCCAGTTCCCAGTATTTCAACTTTAATTTTATTCACTTTTTCACTCGGTGAATAAATACGAATTATATAAATAAAATTCCTTTTTGTAATCAATTCTTTTTAAGTTATTAAATATTATAAAATCTGGAGCAGAAGTTTATTAAATTGAAAATTTTAATTTTCTGTTCTTTGTAATTAATTTTTTTTTTTTAATATTTTATACTCTTTTATTGATGGAAAAAAAATTGTACAACAGTACAAAGCTGGTAAGAACAGAAAAGGCAGGATGTATTTAATACAAAAGTTCTCATTGCTCTTAACAAGAAGAAATAAAAAAAAACTACTTGAGCGATCTTAACATTTTTTAGCAGGAAGCAAACCGGAATAATAATAATAATAATAATAATAACTATGATAAAAAATTTTTAATCAGTGTACACTTTTTAAATATTTGCAAAGTAAATGATTTTTTATTAAAAATGAATCATGATATTAAAGTTAGCAGTCACAACTTTTTTTTTAATTTTTTTTAACAAATAAATTTTTTCCAAAAAATTATTTTAAAAAAATTGCATTTTTTATTTTTTTAAAATTTTTGACAATTTTTTTTTGACTTCTTTTTCCCATAATTTATTTGTTAAAAAAATTCTTAAAATTATTAAATGTCTGCTAAATTAATATTATTATTATTACTATCTATATTATTAAGAGAATAAGAAAAATTTTGTTCCAAGGATTTATTTAGGCTGCATTCGAAAATGCTCTATCTTCAGATACATAATTAAGAAATGACATTGTATCTTGTGAACTATATTGACATTTTTAAAGATATAAGCTCACCCCGACACTACACTCATCAAGACCTTTCATTTGAGTACCCACATCAATTTTTCATATATTTATAATATATATATTATATATATGTATAAATGAAAAATATGTCAAAATGCATGTGGGTACTCAAATGAAAGCTCTCGATGAGTTTAACATCGGGATGAGCTTATATCGTTAAAAACATCATTAGTTAACAAAATACAACAGTCATTACTAAATTCTTAACATTTTTGTAAATAAGTCCATTTTGATGTTACACTCATCGAGACCTTTCATTTGAGTACCCACATGCACTTTTCATATATTTTATAAATATCATATATATGAAATATATAAAATATATGAAAAATGCATGTGGGTACTAAAATGAAAGCTTTTGACGAGTGTAACATCGGGATGAGCTCATATCTTTAAAAACGTCAATAGTTAAGAAAGTACAGTGCAATTTAACAAAAGTCATTATTTATTTATAGTTCACAAGTCACGGCAGTTACATAGTGACGGCAAGGTTGCTAGTTATTATCATTATTTTTATCTCTGATTTTTTTATCTTAAATTATTAATTACAAAAAAATCGGCACAATTTAAAGAGAAAAATTGAAAAAAAAAAATTATTTTAATGTACTAATAAAAACTTGAAATATTTTTTGTAAAAAAGACATAAACTTCTACAAGTATGCAAATTAACGTCCTTTGTAAGTTGCGAATAACAATAAATGTTTATAAAAACAATAAAAATACAAAATCCATAAAAAGGCATTAGATTTTGAAATAAAAATTCGTGAGTTTCTAAAAGCGGACGGTCCATATCAAACTTGCTTTTGCTGTATAAATACATATATGTATATATGGGTAAGGGTATGAGTATGGGTATGGTTATCCGAGTGAATGCCATATTTACGAGAATGCGAGTTGCATGGGTACACATGTACGGTAATACCTACACGTTCCTCCGCATATATAGGTAAAATATGTATAGGTGATGTAGTAAGCCACGATATCGTATACCGTATGTGGGCATCCACTCTCTCTATATACATTTATACATACACCTATATATAATATAATACTACTCCTATGTACCACCGCGATGGTGGATGGTGGAGCATGCACATGCTGATCCCTGGATTACGGCGTTCCCCTGGTTCCTCGGACCTCCCCGCGACCCAATCCGCCGACTGATCTATCCTCTGCTCTCTTCTCTGTTGGCTGGCTAACATTCATCGTGAATCCACATCATCGCCCTCGGTTATTTTACCTCGAAAAATATATCTGCTTCACTTTCATCAGCTGCCTGATTCTGTTACATTTTCCCTTTTATCTTTTTCCTTGTTCCTGGATTTTTTTTTTTATTTATTTATTTGTTTGCACATCCGTAAATTTTTAACAAAAATAACAATTGATTTTTTTGATATCTAATGAACCATTCAACAATATTTTTACTTTGTTTACTCAGTCGAATTTTAAACTTTCTTTCAATTACCAATTAATTATTAATATTATTCTCTTAAAATGTGTTTATTTTTTAATAATAATAACTAGCCACCTTGCAGTCACTATGTGACTGCCGTGACTTTTGAACTATAAATAAATAAAATTTTGATTTATTAAATAATGACTTTTGTTAAATTGCACTGTAGTTTCTTAACTACAGACATTTTTAAAGACATAAGCTGATCCCGATGTTACAATCTTCAAGAGCCTTCATTTGAATACCCACATGCATTTTGATATATTTTTTCATATATACATATATATAATATATATAAATATATGAAAAATTGATGTGGGTACTCAAATAAAAGGTCTCGATGAGTGTCACATCAGAATGAGCTTATATCTTCAAAAATGTCAATAGTTCACAAGATACAAGTTTATTTCTTAATTATGTATCTAGAGATAGAGCATTTTCGAACGCAGTCAAAATACTTATCATAATAAATTGACTATCGGTGAAAATGATATAAAACCTTGAAAAGGCACAAATTCAAGTCAAGACCTTTGCAATGACACTAAATTTCACTAGTGAAAATTTATTATTATTATTCCTTATAAAATTCCTCATCTAAGAAAATAATTAAAAAAAAATTAATTATTTTAAATTAATAAAAAAAAAGTTTTTATCTTAATTAAATTACATAAAAAATAATCTTTATTAAATCCAAGATTTTTTTTGAAGTAAATTAAATTTCCTCAAGCAAAGAAGCTCTATAAATTCACTAATCAGTCAACAAATAAGGATCTTCTGTGAACGAGAACTCAATTACTCTTTTTGCTCAAAAAATAAAATAGAAAGTCATTAGATCTAAATAGTTCCCAAGTGTATTACTCTCGAGTTGATCGTAGGTCTTAGTAAATGGAATCAGATCACGAATGTCAGTTGTAGTTGATTGGCGATTGCATCGACAGCAAATATTTGCCGGGACATTAAACAAGCGTGGCGACCTCCCGGGTCGATCGGGGTACTCTCATCAAGCTGAGGTAAAAAGCCGAAGGTACTTTTATTTTTTCTTTTTTTATCTTAATAAAATAAAATAAAAACAAACTGAGGAACAGTGAAGGGCAAAGCTCGGATCCTTGATGCTTCTTCCCGGAGAAATAAAGAATCAAAGCGAGTGGATCTGAGACACAATATGACCGAGTGAGTAGTAAAATCGTGAGAGGTAAAATCTGCAGAAGAGAGCGAGATGAAACGTATATAGTATAGTAATGAAGCCGATTGAATAGCACACCACAAACTGAACGGAGAATAGACAGTAAGAGTAAAGAGTAAAGAGTAAAGAGTGAAGAGCATTGCAGAGGGAATCGTTTATTAGGTGGTTGATTGTGATGGAACTTTGCTTTAGTTATTTACTTTGCACACACAAAGAATATATGGGATATGTGTGGTGGTTGATGCAAATTCCCATGCAGTCAACGTCCCAGATGAGCACGCGAGCGATAGAGTACACACGCGAAAGAGCCAGATATCGCGGATCGTGGCCTCTACTCTCGACTTAACTCTCGTGTGGTGAATTAAGCTATAGTTGAGCTTCTCTTACTCTTACTCTTACTCCAAGCCCGATAAAATAAGAAGGATAAGCACCAACATAAGGCATAAGGACTAAGCATAAGCAGTTCCTCTAAGAATCTACCGTTCAATGACTTCACGATCTTATTTTTACCCTCCAGCTCCAAGAGAGTACCAGGGATTTATGTATTTTTTTACCAGCCTTGATAGACGTCTGTCTGTCTGTCTATCTGTCCGTGCTCTCCATTATTTTCTATCTTTCTCACGATATTACTTTTTACTTGCATTCTTCGAGTTTTTATCAAACGGATATTCTTTGTTCAGAAGGACATAAGTTTAGAAATTTTTGGTATTTAAAAGGATTTTTTTAATTAAATAAAATTATCTTTTCTTAATAATTAGGTTGATTTTTTTTAAATTGTAAAAATGTAATTTCAGTTGGAATAATTTTTTTTAAAGTTTATTTTTGGATAAATATATTTAAAAAATACTGAAAAATAAATTTTGAACCAAGAAAATTATTTTGAAGAATTTTTTTTTTTAATTAATCAGAAACATTAAATTTATTTATATTCAAAATTTTCTGCTTATTTAAAAAATGATCAAATTTTTTATAAATAATTTTTTTTTGCTCAAAATTTTTTCTATTTAATATCAAGAATTTTTTTTCGCAGTATTTATTACTGATACAAAAAAAATAATCAAGTTTTTTTTTTCTAAGAAAATTTAATTTATAACAAAAAATTTGTATCAATTTTTTGGCTATTTTTTATTCCAACAAAATTAAAATTAAAAAATTTTCATTGCACTTTTTTCTAAGTCGAAATTCAAATTTAAAGTGCAATTTAAATTTATAAGCTTCTAGCATGAACTCCAAAATTATTATATATTTATAATAAAATTTTCTTTCTTTAAAAAATACAATACTAAAATAAGCCGACGTTCAAAAATTTTTTATTTTATTTATTAATAAAATTACACGTAAAAAAAAATACTTAAAATTCTTTAAATAAAATTTTTAAATGTCGGCTAATTTAATTTTCATTAAAAATATCAGAATTATCAAATTTAATTTTTTATTTAACAAAAAAAAGGGTAAACTAATTAAAAGTAATTGTAAAGACTTACTTAGGGTGGCATTATTGGCTCGCGACTGATCTGTTTGTGATCTGAGTAACCTTAGCCTATTGAGTTTGCTCTGTTGTTGATCGAGTCGATGCCTCAACCTCGCCAATCTCTCTTGCTGTGCTGGTTCCTAAAATACCAAAATAAAAAAATATAAATTTTTATGAATAGGAAAGAATATTTTTTTTCTACATAATAAAAATGTAAAGCGAATTTAAATTTTTAAATTGCTTTTTTTTATGATCAAAGAAAATGTATTTTTTTTTATTAAAAATTAAATTATATAAAAAAATCTTTGCGAAGGTGAACGATCTCGGATGTCGGATTACGAAGACCTAGAATGATACAGCTAAGATTGAATTATTTTATTTATTTTCCTCCGTCTTAGTATTTTATAAATGAAAGACTTCTCAGATATATCGACTTATTCTATGTTCCTTGTATTGATATATTGATATTAGCTACGCTTTAACTTATATTCCCATTGAGCAGAGACATATCAATACCAATTTTTATTCAACAGTCATATATAGACGCAAAATGAATTTCTTTCCATTTATAGAATTGGGTATGAGTAATTCGTATCAGCGTACAATTTTATAGATCATTTTTATTTTATATAGAAAATATATTATACATTACTCATGTTCATTTTTCAGGTATATATTTCAAAGTTCGCGGATTAAAGCTTTGTCGGGAATATATAATTAATATATGCTGAAGATAAAATTACTTCATTCGGAAAATATTCTTTTTAAATTTTTTTTTTTAGATTTTTGGCATGAATTTATTTATGGATTGAACCAAAAAAATAGAATTCAATAATGAAGAGAGAATTTATTATTAAAAAATTTTAACTATTCAACTCAATTCAATATTTAAGTAAAATAATTCATATTTCAGCTAAAAATTCCTTTCTCTTATCATATTGATTTTAAATATTGATGAATCGTTTTATAAATAAGTTCAAATGGGTTTAAGCAAAATATCTTGTTAAATTCGTTGGGAATACAGAAAAAAATTGGAATTTTGAGACATTACTCATTAGATTATTCAAAATTTTATGGAAATTTGTGTTTTCAAAATTATTAAATGGTTGTTAATTAATTAATTATGATCTAGTTGATCGTTTGATTAAATTAAAGGGCCCAAAAAATTCAAATTTCGCATTTTTAAGTATCAAATAATTTTTTCTAATCAATTACGATTTAAGTGATTTTTTTTTGCTTATTTAATATTTTTAAACAATCAAAAGATTCCAAATTTTCCTAAAAAATGGATAAAATTCACAAAAATCCCTAGAAAATTTTATTTTTTCTAACGATAAAACATTTTTTCTTGATAATTACAAATTAAATAATTTTTTTTGCTTATTTAATATTTTTGAAACGTTCAAAAATTTCAAATTTTACTACAAAATTGACGAAATCATTTGATCTATTTCGATAAGCTTAAAATGTTCCAAAAATTCATCTTTTGCAACCAAATTATTGACATCTATCAAAATTCCACGAAAAATTACTTTTTCTAAATTATCTCCATAAAAAAACTATCCCAAATTATCTTTTAAAAAATTCCCAAAATTTCTGACAAAATTAAATACCCAAAACTCCAGGGGAATTTTGCTTTTCAAAATTATTAAATGATTGTTAGTTATAATAATAAATAAATTTCTAATTTTGATTATTATTATTACATTTTTAAAATTAAATAATAATAATCCTTTAAATAAATTTCTAACATAAAATAAAATTGAAAGTATTGATTTTAATATTATAAATTTTAAAAAAGAAAAAATTATTCTAACAATTCACTATAATAATTATTTATAACAAAGAGAGCATTAGTGCAAGTGAAGATTCTTTGTTTCAAAATATTCTCATATGAATACACAGTCAGTATGTTCATTGTTCTTAATTCTTATGAAAGTATTAAATTATATACTATTATATTGTCTTGCATCTCTACTCTCCATTATCATTATATTATTATTATTATTATTTTTAATCTTATTATTATTTTACTATTATATAATCATCAGAATTTAAAAAAAAAACATAGATAAATTTTTCCAACCCAATAAAG